TCAATTTGCAGTCCCACCACCAATGTATGAGTGTACTTTTTTCTCATCTATAGTATCTTGTTTAGTTATCTTATGTTTGATGACAAAAAAATTGGAAAATAGTTTAAGTAAACATTTTATTTTTTTGAGTTAGCAATTAAAATTTGTTCAAAAGATGAATATTAATATTTGAGTATTAAATTTTAGTAACTCATGAATTCTAAGTTCTTTACAGGAATCCAATGTGTGAAGATAGAAATTATTAAAGCAATTTTATAATAGTAAAACAAAGCAAGGAGGAATAAATATAAGGTGAGGCTGTAAAGATTGTTAATCTCCTTGTTTGACAGCAAGATGACTAAAAGAGGTTTTTTTACTATCCCTAAGATGACTTCTAAAAGTATATCTGTCCTATGAAATGTTCTTTTCTTGTACAAAATTTATTTATTGTGTGTTTTCAGATGTTTTAGCATTGTTTCCTTAGAACGTAGCTCTTTAAAAAGCATAAACTTTAAAATAGATTTTTTTTTTTTTTAGAAATTCAGAGTTGAAAATCTTGTGGTGTGTGTATATTTATACCTAGAAATCTGTTTCTTTATTTTGAATGAATAAAAGATTGCCAAAGATACGGTATAAATCCTCATTTTCCTTTTTTATTATTCTGTTGCCTGGTACATCCTCTTTTTAAGTTTGTGGACATGATTAGTTTCTTTCATTGACTATTGATTCCCTCTTGAGTATAAAAGGCACTAGTCTTAAAAATTAATAACCCTCAGTCTTGGCTCAACTATCTAATTTATGTTTGGCAAATCATTTGGTTTCTTTGCCCCTGGTTTTGTAGCCACAAAGTAGGAATAAAAGTTATGTTCCCTACCTTCAACCTATGGAGGGACATTAAATAAGCATCCCTATACCTGCATTCCATGGTTCCTACTTCATGGAAAAAATGAAAACTGTTATTTAATCAAGGGTGAACTTTCTTCAGAGTTCAACTCTTTTCTCTCCTGGATGCAAGTTCATCCATATTTGTACCTGTTCTTATCCCATGTGGATGGGATGTATCTATTTAAGGTTATTCCTTTCTTTCTTTTTTTTTTAGAGAGAGAGAAAGAGAATTTTAATATTTATTTTTTTTTTTAATTTTTGGCGGACACATCTTTGTTTGTATGTGGTGCTGAGGATCGAACCTGGGCCACACACATGCCAGGCAAGCGTGCTACCGCTTGAGCCACATCCCCAGCCCTTAAGGTTATTCCTTTCAACACTTTCCTTTGACTTTATCACAGTAGCTCTACCCTTTTGCAGAACATTACTGCATTTGTCACTTTTGATTTGGTTAGATTTTCCCCTCTTTACAATGTAGGCTTATACATAAAACATCAATAATTCTTAACTTCATCTTTCCATATTATCCTTCTGAAGTAACCAATGTTGGTTGTGTCTGTTCATTTTTAAACACTGTATACATTTTCTGTCTATAAATGTATTTTTCCCCTTTTTTAATAAAAAAATTGAATTATAAAATATGTATTAGTGTACAATTTACTTTCTGCAGCTTGCTTTTGTTCCCTAAATATCTCACGGGCATATATTTAATTATTATTTTTGGCAACTGTATGATATTTCATAGAATGTATATGTAAATATTTAACTTTTTACTTTTTGATTGCTATTCACATTCTTTCTGATTTGCTGAAGTTAATAAAATTTTGTGCTTGCTCATATTTCTGATGTATTTGAGCTTTTGTTTTAATTGATAGATTTCTAAGAGTGATAGTGCTAGATCAAGGGGCATTCATATTTAAAATTTTGATACTGTGAAATTACTTTTCAAAAAGATTGTAGTATATTATCCTGCAAAAGCAGTGTTTTGTCTTACCATTCTCCCCAAAGTTCTGATGGTCTCTTTGCTGCATTAATTTTCATTTCCCTCAGTATTATCGAAGTTAAATATGTATTGCTAATTGTTTCCTGTTATATAAATTATCTGTTAATATCCCTAAGCCTAGTTTTGTTGGCTTGTTCTTTTCTTAAATGGTAGGAACTCTTTATTGTAGGATCATTATCTCCTTGACCCATGTTAGGAATATCATTAGTATACATACATTTAAAAAAATTTTAAAACACACCTTAGCCATATTGAGTTAATTATGTTTTGGGTAGGGGATTGAACCCAGGGACACTTTATCATTGAACTACATTCCCAGCTCTTGTTTTAAATTTTATTTTGAGACCGGTCACACCAAGTAGGGGAGGCAGGTCTCCAACTTGAGATCCTTCTGCCTTAGCCTTCGAGTATCTGGGATCATAGGCATTTGCCATTGTGCTTGGCCATATTGGGTTATTTTGAAGCAACTTTTTGAATAGGAACCTTTCCTACTGTTACCAGTCATCATGGAGTTCTTTTGCTTAACTTGGGACAGGAATCAGGAAATGACAAAGTACAGCTAATTTTGGGCTTATTGGTTGTTGGTGTTAACAGACTTCTTTTGCTCAATTCGAAAAAGAAATCATAAAGGTGGGGCTGGGATTGTGGCTCAGCGGTAGAGTGCTCGCCTAGCACATGCAAGGCCCTGGGTTCAATCTTCAACACCACATAAAAATAAAATAAAATAAAGATATTGTGTCCAACTACAGCTAAAAAATAAGTATTAAAAAAAAGAAATGATAAAGGTAAGCAGTAACACCCAAACAAAGCTTTATTCCTGTGCAAAAGGAAGACAGTGCACAAGATAGGACCCTGAACTGCTATTTGAGGAGGTAAGAAGCAAAGCTTATATAGACAAAGATTGTGGGCTGGCACAGACACAGTCTGCCCTTGCACACAATCTCAGAAGTTCTGTACATTTTTGGTCAGTTCCTTGCCATCAGCACCAGGGTTTGCATTTGACATGGTGATTTGCATATGTGCATTGAGTTCCTCTGTGCTCAGCTCATAAAAGATAGCCTTACTTACTTCCACCATCCCAGGAAAATCATGTATAGGTCAAGTTCAGGCCTATTAAACATATATAGGGTTGTTGAAAAGCTTAAGGGAGGAGTCAGCAGCTCCAGAACCTGGAACCTAATGATTAATGGAAACAATATTTTAAAAGCAACTCGCTTTCAGTTGGAAACCATGAAGGGGCAATTAGGGACCTGCTTAGTCCTGCTCAGTCTTATTGTCAGACACTCAGTTTTACTCTGAAATTAATCAGGACAATATGATATTGATATAGGCAACCACAGCAAAATAGAGTGCTCAGGAACAAATGAGTGTGTTTGGAATCTTGAAGTATGAGGAGAGGACATCTTAATTGAATTGGGGGAAGAATGAACTAATTATTTTAGATAATACACTCTTTATTTATAAGAAAATAGTCTTTACAGTTTTACCAAAACATTAAGTCAGTCAAATAAATGATCCTGGTTGACAGATGAGGCTCTTTCTTTTAAGAGCCAATAGCAGCCTCTCTGCTTATTCTTGTTGAAATATTTATAGTACACTGGAATTGCCCATTATTTGTGTTTTCTTTTCTATAACACTGTAAATTCCTGGAAGGCAGGGAATTTTGTTGTACACCCATTGAATAAATGAGATGTAGGTACTTTTATAAATATCTGTGGAATTAGTAGATGTGCTTAGTTATTTATTTCTCCATTTTTCTATAGTCTAATTTCTATTGTCAAGAAAAATTGTTTATATGATAAATTGTTTTTATGTTAATAAAAATTTGTTAGCTTGTTCTAAAGGTAAGGGTGGAGTTTTTTAAACACTAGACCTAGTAAATAAGTAAGCCATAAGATAGGATTTAAAATAGAGTTTTTTTAATTTTCAAGACTTTAAATATAGGAAATTTGCTTCTTTGGTTTAACATACATTTTTTTGGGGAGGGTGCTGGGGATTGAACCCAGGGCCTTGTGCATGAGAGGCAGGCACTCTACCAACTGAGCTACATCCCCAGCCCTAACATATCTTTTTTTATGCTTATAATTTTTGTGTATAGTAGTAAAAAGGATTTAATTTTCTCAAGTTTCTTTAAATTGAATTGTCAATTCAGTGATAACCATGTAATAATATTAGTTTTTCATCAAGTCATTATAATTGCTTAAATAACTTCTGTTTACTAGCCTTCATGCTAAGTGATATATCCATATACACATGTATATGTGATACATATTTAAAAGGGAGTCTAGAAGATAGCATAAAGCTATGACATCATCTGAAGTCTAACAACCTAGCGAAACCAGTAAACATGTTGGTGTATATGCTTTATTGTTTGTTTTTTGGCGTGGATACTTCTCCCCTCTTGCCCCCAATTAAGGTTCATATCTAAAATTAATTGGCTGCCATTTACATACACCTGAGAAAAGTGCATTCTGATATTTGTACTCCATCAGAAATGGGAAGTGAAACACATGATGGAAATTGTATTCCATATCATAGTGGTTTTCAATCCATAGACTGGTACTGGTTATATAGTAAAGTTCTTACTGATCCAAGGTCAAGTTAGGAAATTGTAGTGATGATGAATAGTAATTCGATTTTTTTTCAACACATATAGTGTCCTATATTCTGAGTGTGTTTTTGGAGAGTTAAAATGTTCAGTCTTGTGTGAAATGTTGGCAAAGGTTGGTCTGTTGTAGGTAAAGATGATGAACATATTACTTTGTAAAGTACAACAACAACAAATAGTAATCCTGTGTTGTTCTCTGCTTCATTATATATGTATATATTTTAGTTTTAGATGGACACAATGCCTTTATTTTATTTGTTTTTATCATTATATGGTGCCAGGGATCGAACCAAGTGCCTCATGCATGCTAGGCAAGTGCTCTACCACTGAGCCACAACCTTGGCCCTCTGCTCCAGATTTTAAGAATGTTATTTCAGTGCTGTATGAAATTTAGAAACATTTATAATGACTACTGGTGATCATCTTATATACTTCTTTTTAATTAACCATATAAGTAATTAACATTGTATATTAATTTCTCATGCTTACTAATTATTGAGGACATTTTATGTTTTTTATTCATAGTACCTGGTTATGGATTATTATGTTGGTGGGGATTTGCTTACTCTGCTCAGCAAATTTGAAGATAGATTGCCTGAAGATATGGCTCGATTTTACTTGGCTGAGATGGTGATAGCAATTGACTCAGTTCATCAACTACATTATGTGCACAGGTAAGTCAGTCCTTTGTTGCATCTGGCTATGAGTTACCATGTAATATCTATAAACTGAAGTATTTTTCTACCAAATTTATTAATTATGGTCTTAGATGCATTGCTCATCAACCAAAATAGTTGATTTTGCATATTTTATTTTGTTGTTGTCATTATTTAATCAGCATTACTGAATAGATGTTCCTGCTTATACATAAATGTATCTGTATAATGTCTAAAAGTACCTACTTAGAGTCAGCATTTTTGAGAGAACACTTCTAAAAACACTTACATTAAATTTACTTACGATTTCCTTTCTAAAGGAGTATGCATTGGCCAGTTTCCTTGCATTCATTCTTACGTATTAATCATAGCTGAAATTCTAGGCCATAAATAATAGTTTCATTTGCTAAGCAAGACTCATGTTATATAGTGTGTTTCTCAAGAAAATACTTTCAAGACTCATATAACCATCAAAAGAGATAAACATTTCTTTTCGTAGAAAATGGCAGTTTTTATGTTCATGGAATGATTTCATTATAAGCTGTTTGATAGATAACAATTTATTAAAAAAATTCTCTACTATTGTGTGTTATATTGTACAGGATAGAATGAAAAGAAAAATGTAGGCCTGTTTACAGAATGGTTTTTACACAGAATTGTTCTCATGCTTGTTGACATAAGTTAAAAATCCCTTTCTCCCTAAATAGCTTATAATGATTTATGGATAATAAATAATTAGAAACATTTGATGGTTTAAAGGAAAGTAGGAAATCATCACAGAGTTATTGGTGAATTAATCATTCAAATGAGATAAATCATTGGGTTATGCTAAATGTGAAAAAGAGAAGGATTAGGAAGTAGGTAAAGAGTTATTGCTGTGTTAGGAAACAGACAATTTATAAGTCACTGATTTTCAAACTTCAGCTTGCAGCAGGAGTCCTGGAGGGCTTGTTAAAATCCAGATTGTTGGGTGAACTCTTGAATTTTTAACTTGATAGGTTGCATGGGATGGTAATTAGCATCTCTGGCACAGCTGCTGATGGGAGTGGTGCTGGTGCTAGTGGTTCTGGTGCTGGTGGTGCTGCTGCTGCTGATTGAGTAACCTCACTTTGAGAACACTTCTAGGGTAGTAGGGAATATTTCTTTTATGTTCTTTGAGAAGAACATGTACGTGGAAGCAAGATGAAGTTTCTGTTTCAATGTTTTTTAAGATATGATTTTTTAAAAATGTTGATTGGTTTAATTAGTAATGAACTTCTGGGGACATTAATAAAGGAAGACTATTTTTATTTAAAAAATTCTATTTGGGCTGGAGGTGTTGCTCAGTGTTAAAGCACTTGCCTAGCATGCATGAACCATGGGTTCTGTTCCCAACACCTGCCCACCGCCCACACACAGTTAACTGATATCAATATAGCTTTTGCCTATTTGTATGTTTTTTTCTGTTGATATCTGGTAGTCACAAATTTTTACCAAAAATAAAGACAGGAAGATGCTTAAAAACTGGTATTATGGTCTCAAAAAGTGAATTACAGGATGAGAAACTATAATGCTTTTTTTGTTGCTTAAACAATAATTCAGTTTTCTAGCTGAGGACTATTATTTAAATATATGAAAATATCATTTTATTGAATCCTTACAGAATATTGGTTACTAAGTAAACATGGAGTCGTAGACTTGAGGAGTTTAGAAAGACTTGACCCAGTTCATGTCTACATTCTTGATGAGGAATGATTGTTTCAGAAAATTATTCCTCTAGTTTGAGGATACTAGTTATGAGGTATTTGTGATACTCTGTATTCTTCCAGGCTTGTGACAGATTCTTAAGTGATCATAGCACCCTTTTTTACTGACGGTATTCGTAGTGTTATAATTCTTCTCAACATAGCATTTTAGGTAACAGCTATCTTTCTGATATTGTCATGTGGATTAAAAACTGTATCAACACTGAGTTCTGCTTAGGTGCCTTTAATTTTAAAAGGTACCTACTGTTAAAATGAATCCTCTTTATTCCATTGTTGAGTGTCTCCGATATTATAGAATTCTATGTTATCGTCACTTAGAAAGTTCTCACACTCTCCAAAGCCTTTCTTTTGGCTAAATTTCTAAATATCTATGGTTTTCCTGTTATCAGAATTAGTATACACATTCTTTCTTTCTTATCCCTCACCTATTCCATGCCCACTCCCAAGTTGTTTTGTCCTCTGTCTTTACCTCTTTCTTTACCCTTCAGTGGATGTTCCAGTGTGTTAATACACTTTTAATGTTTTCAAAATGTGTTTCCAGTTTTCTGAATAGACTACTTCCAACTAAGACTCCATTGAGGAAATATTTATTGACTCTTCTTTTGTAAAGAGCATAGTGTTAAACCATGTGGAATAGTAAATAGGTATGGTATAGTCCTGACTTTTAAGAAGCTACCAGTCTGTTTAGAGACATAAAATGTAAGACAGAAATAAGAATTAAAATAAATAATCACTTAAGACAAAAGTGTAAGAGATGTAGTGAGTTCAGGCTTGAATTGCTAAATGAATTATATGAACAAATTACAGTCAGCCAAATTGGGATAACAAATTTAGTTCTGATGGTTAATTAATTCTACTTTGTCCCATGGACTTTACCTATATTCTAACAATAATTCTGTTATTTAGATATCATCTAAAAATGGCTGTTGTTCTATTTTATAAATGAGAAAACCAGACTCAGAGACATGAGTCAGTAAATAGCATGGCCTAGATGAAAATCTAAGTCAGCCTAACTCCAGGATTCATGCTCTTTGCATAACATGTTTTCCTAAACTTTGATGGATGAGAAGACTATGTGTTGGCAGAGAGGAAGGCATTCTCAATATATATAAGAGAAAAGTAGGAGCACATAGGCAAGAAAAGGCAGTTTTGAAGAAAACCAGTTTGGCTAAAAAGAGAGTTCGTGTTGAATTTGATAGGATATTTATTTGTAATTCAGATTTGGCCCTTATCATAGAACATGTATCATGTTATTGATCTTTCAGGAGCTTATAAGCTACCATTGATTTCAGGCAATGGAGTGTTTGGTGGTTTTAGTTTAGTTTGTTTTTGGCAAGCTCCTGTCATAAAGTTTTATGAAGTTTTCTAAATATTTTATAATTTAAGAACTTCACGTGGGAGTTAGAGAATATAAGAAAGGAATAGTAGGGACAGGATATATTTAAGGAAGGAAATACTTTTGTTTTTCATGTGTTCTTTAAAGATAAATTTATTTACATACTTATTTATAAAACTACATATAGATATTCTAATAGCACAAAAACTTCGATAAGAAATTTGCTAAAAGACTTATCAAGAGATAAATGAGCAATAGAAAGTAGCAAAACTGAGAAGTATAAAGTTCTTAAAAAATCCTCCTTTCCCCACTCCCACACATGTCCATTTTCAATATCCCTCACCAGAGTTATTATAGTTGATGAGTCTACATAGATAAATCATAATCACCGTAAGTTTATAGTTCATACTAGGATTCATTCTTCATGTACATTCTGTGGTTTTTGGCAAATGCAGAATGACATATGTGTACTTCTATATTATTATAGATGGTAGTTTCACTATCCTAAAAGTCTTCTGTGCTCCTTCTGTTCATTTCTTCATCCCCTCTAATCCTTGAACATCACTTTTTTTTTTAATACTAGCTCATAATTGTAGGGATTCTACAACTATGTGGAAATGTACCGGGAAGCATTCCCCTGGCGAGAAAACTCCTGGGGAGGGGGCTGGGTAACAGACACGCTGTTTCCCACCCTTAGAATGCCCTGCAATCTTTCTTAGGATCAATTTATATAGCTAATATATGTGCAGTGTCTAGCTGGTATGGCAATGCCCTGAGAAGCCTCTGCGTTATTGCCTCATCAAGCCTCAACCTTGATTGCAGGCACATAGCTCCTGGGAATAAAGGAACTTGCTTGATAACTACAATGTTTGACCAAGCTCTGGTGCTCCTGGATCTGGCCACCTAACAGTAACTTCATACAATGGACTTTCTTGAGAACTACCCAAAGATCCTAACATTGCTTATTGTAATTGTGAAATATTACTGCAAAATAAGCAACCTTACTGATACTCTAAACAATATTGTAGTTATGGTACTAATGACCTAATATAACCTATTGGTATAAATAAATGTGGCTGCTTGGACAAGGAGCCACTCTGCCACTTTCCTGCCTCTGTACCTTGTCTCTGTCTACTCTTTATTATTATTCCTTACACATAATTTTGCCTATTCTAAAATGTCATATAGTTGAAATCATACAGTATGTAACCTCTTTAGTTAGCTTCTTTCACTTACTAATATGCATTTAAGCATCGTCTTTATCTTGTTGTGACTTTAGAGCTCATATTGTTTTAGTTAATAATATCCCATTGTCTAGATATATACTAGTTCATTTACCTACTGTTTAGTCAGCTTTTTCACCACTGAGACTAAAGGACCCAACCAGAACAATTGTAGAGGAGGAAAGGTTTATTTAAGGGCTCACAGTTTTAAAAATCTCAGTCCATAGATAGCTGGCTCCAGTCCCCAGGGTTTGAAGTGAGGCCCAATATCATGGAGGAAGAGTGTGGCAGAGGGAAACAGCTCATATGGTGATTGGGAAGCAGAGAGATTCCACTCTCCACATCCCAGTAGCCACACCCCCAATGAACCATTTCCTCCATCCACACCCCACCTGCATCCTGTTATTACTCAGTTAATTCCATGAGGGATTAATTCACTTATTAGACTAAGGCTACAACTCAATCATACCTCATATCCAAAACATAACACCTACCAAGAGACATGGTGATTGCCTTCAGGGTTTTAAAAATGTTATCATTATTGTGTTATAATCTTCCAAGTTTTGACAGTTATGAATAAAACTGATTTTATGAGATTCTGTTTTCTCTCTTGTTATCCATATTATCTACCTTTAAAACTTTTTAGTGATTGTCTTTGAGCTTGAAATTTCTATGTGGAACTAATCCAGTTTCATTTTTTAAATAACACATGTT